TTTCTAGGGGTAACAGGATTGCATCCAGTAACCCACCAACAGTCATCTTGCTGCAGAACTCTTCTTTCTGCAGCCTGCAAGGACAAACTGTCTGCCCTGGCTCAAGCCCTAGGCTCACATGCCTCCCATGCCCTGCCTCTTCTGGTCAGCTGTCTCCCCAGCCACTTGCTGGGGTATCCAATCAGGGCCTGACTGCTAGCTCCCAGGGCAGCTTGCTATTGCTGCTCTGGCTGCTTTAGGACTGCATTTGCTGCCCCTAGCAGGGCTCTGCTCTATTGTCCTATTGTAGAGGAAGTAGCACAGCAATAGGCATTCATATGTCTATCCCCTGGCTGCCTATTTGCCTACAGCCAGCTCATCCTGTGCAATGTTTTTCCCACCTGGGGATTTCTCTGTTGCTGCTTTTCCCTCAAAGTAATGGGGAGCCCCTGACTCTCTGTTACACAAGCCTTATTGTCACATTGCACCTTTAGTGGGGCCAGAACTGCTTTCTGCTGTTTTTTGTGACCCATATTTTTCAATTGCTCCCACAGTCCAATAAAACAAGATATGACCCCATACGCCATTGCCATCAGCTCAGAATGGAACTCAGTACTTTTAGTGCTGAAGCCAGAAAGTGCAGTGATCTGTAGCCATCTGTCAGCAATAGGAAAGCTCTTAAGCTATCTGATTTTCCACAGATTTTTAAACAAAAAGTGAATCTGTTTTGATAATGTTGATGGTACCAAATAACTTATAATTCAATGAGAATCCAAACCTGCAAAACTTAGCTCTTGACTGCATCTCTGCATAACAGCAAGTGCAACATGCTACAAATCTCTAAAACTCACTGGAAAATCATTTGTAATTTGGCAGAAAACATGTAGAATGCTAGGTAAAGCAAAGATACTAATATGCTAAAAATCAAGGCATTCTGTCCTTTTAAACACAACAAGGAATGCTTCCTGGGCTAGTTCTAACTTGTTTTAGGCTTCTTAAAACTACTGGGTGATAGCAGATGTGGTGCTCTGAAGTGGTGTCAGTAAGGCAGTTTATGGAAGAGACACAATATACCATGGGCCAAGATTACACCACTGGGGGTTGAGTGGGCTAGGTGGCTCTTCTCTCACTGCAGAGTGATCATCCACTTTCCTTGCGAGTCCAGCCAGTCCTTACTCACAAAACCAAAGCAGCAGAACAAGGTTGATAACACATTCTACCAAAGGCAGTCAAATCCCACGGTCCTCCCCTGCCAAAAAGCATGCTGGGACCATTTTCAGTAGTCAGTGAGAGACCTGAACAGTCATGCCATGCCCTGGGTATCTCCCAAGCAAAAAGGAAAATCATCTCTTTCCTTGACTTTCCTCCTTTTTGTTTTCTTTGTGGATTTGACCTAATTGGCAGACACAGAAAACCACTATAAGCTGGTTGAATATAGTTTATATTAATACAGACTTTGGAGGGCAAGCTTGTGTGTGACTGGCCACCTTCCTCAATCCATATAACACTGATTGTTCTAAGGATTCAAGGGGCCAGCCAAGGGTTCAAACCTTGGAAGAACTACTAAAGAAGTCAGAGTTGTGATGCCCTGGTGACCATATAGCAATGCTCATGCTGTAGTGATTTGAAGCATTTGCTATCAGATGGCTGCTCAATGGCCCATGGGCAGGGTTCTACAGGTTTCATAATTCCATACCTGGGGAATTACCCAGAAGATTCATCTCTGGCCAAATACAAAAACTCAATTTAGAAATCCTGTTTTCCCAGCCACAATGGCTGAAAAAAAATCTTGAAAACACATGTCAAACTGATTCAGCAATGCCTGCCTGCTATTTTACTGTTTTTCAATGACCTGGGAAAAAAGCATTGCAACTAGACAAAGCAGCATGCATGCATAAATTGCCATATACAAAAAAGAGGGCACTTGTAAGTGCATTTTCATTTTAGTCTATAAATTCACTGTATCACATGCCATGAGATGCCTGTTGCACCAACACAACCAACTCCACACCATAGTATCTGAATTTCATGGGACTAGGAATAAGAACTTCACTCTCAATCTCTCTTCATCTTTCTGCTTAGAAGTGCAAGCATACATATGCTGCTGTTCAGTAATGCTTCATATGTCTTTCATCAGTCCCATGGGATACCCATGCCCGCTATGGGACAGGGAGGTCCGGGTGAGGGAGATCCCTTGCCCTCCATCAATGCTGACCTCATAAAGGAACACCTTGAGAGGCTGGATACCTTCAAGTCAGCTGGCCCTGACAATCTACACCCCAGGGTACTCAAGGAGCTGGCGAGCATCATAGCCCAGCCTCTGGCACAGATCTTTGAGAACTCCTGGTGCTCTGGTGTAGTGCCCAAAGACTGGAAGAAGTCTAATGTGGTGCCTATCTTCAAGAAAGGGAGGAAAGTGGATCCAGCAAACTATAGGCCCATCAGCCTGTCTTCTATCCCAGGGAAGATCTTAGAAAAGTTTATTAAAGAGGCCATCCTTAATGGACTGGCCGATGCCAACATCCTGAGGGATAGCCAGCATGGGTTTGTTGTGGGTAGGTCTTGCTGGACCAATCTCATTTCCTTTTACGACCAGGTGACCTATCACCTGGACAAGGGAGAAGAGATTGATGTCATATATTTTGACTTCAAAAAAGCCTTCGATCTGGTTTCCCATGATCACCTCCTGGCGAAACTGGCCAATTGTGGCCTTGGGTCCACCACGATCCGCTGGCTGGGAAATTGGCTCCGTGGTCGGACCCACAAGGTGGTGGTTGATGGAAGTCAATTGTCATGGTGCCCTGTGACCAGTGGGGTCCCCCACAAGGCATTAATGATGTAGACATTGGAGTCAGAAGCAGACTGGCCAAGTTTGCTGATGACACCAAACCTTGGGGCAAAGCATCCATACCTGAAGACAGGAGGGCAATCCAGGATGACCTGGACAGGCTCAGCAAATGGGTGGATGTTAAACACCATCAGGCTCTCACCGAAAAATGCATGGTTCTCAACCTTGGGAGGAAAAACCTGCAGCATCCTTATAGGCTCAGCAGTGCTACACTGGCTAGTACTATGGAAGAAAGACTTGGGGGTCATCATTGACCACAAGATGAACATGAGCCTGCAATGCAATGCTGAAGCTAGTAAAGTAACCAAAACGCTGGCTTGCATCCATAGATGCTTCTCAAGCAGATCCCGGGACATCATTCTCCCCTTGTACTCGGCCTTAGTGTGGCCACAGCTGGAGTACTGCGTCCAGTTTTGGGCTCCACAATTCAAAAAGGATGTGGAGAAGCTCGAGAGAGTCCAGAGAAGAGCCATGCGCATGATCAGAGGTCAGGAAAACAGACCTTACGATGACAGGCTGAGAGCTATAAGGCTCTTTAACCTGGAAAAGCGCAGGCTCAGGGGTGATCTGATGGCCACCTATAAGTTTATCGGGGTGACCATTAGTATCTGGGGGAACATTTGTTCATCAAAGCACCCCAAGGGTTGACGAGGTCAAACGGTTGTAAACTACTGCAAGACCATTTCAGACTGGACATAAGGAAGAATTTCTTTACTGTCCGAGCCTCCAAGGTCTGGAATAGCCTGCCATCGGGGGTGGTTCAAGCACCCACATTGAACACCTTCAAGAGTAAATTGGATGCTTATTTTGCTGGGATCCTATGACCCCAGCTGACTTCCTGCCCTTCGGGCAGGGGGCTGCACTCGATGATCTTCCAAGGTCCCTTCCAGCCCTAATGTCTATGAAATCTATGTCTCTGTATGGACCGCAAGATTCCAATTAACTTGTCTGGGCAAAGGCAGAATGCCCTGTTTTTTTCAATGATAAATCCCCCTCCTTTTTTTCTTACATAAATAATTTCCCCATGAAACCTGAGCAAGGTAATACTTCTTTACAGGTAAAAAAGAATACCACAATAGAAGGTATCCTAATAATGATGCACTGAATTCACATAGTTAAACAAATACAGCCCCACTGAAGTCATTATTTGTGTACACAGCATGAATAATTTGTTTGATTGTTTCTACATATATTATGGGCACTTGTGCATGAAAAGGGTCATTCTATTTATTTCTAGTTGATAACTAGCAAGGTAACTGAATGTCTCAAAGTACCATATCCTGTTAGAAATCCCATATAAAATTTGTTTTAAAGTGACCCCACAAATTGTCATCCTATACACATATTTCTGAGATTTAAAAAGGAGATATAAATATTTCATACAAGTCTAAAGGAGGGGGAAAAGGAAAGATAACCACAGTACTTAAGCTACACAAAGCCACTTGGGTAGCTTTGAAATCCTTTACACATTCCTAAACTCTTTGGTGATTACAATCAAAGTGCTATCATAAGTTCTGTCCCAGTAAGCCTCTTGTCTAGGAAGTTGTACTACAGACTGTGCGGTAAAAGGAACATGCTAAAAGAATTGTCACAAACCCAAAGATTAAAATTAACATAGGAATTCCCAACACACACTGACTTTTACTGACTGTGGTATCATGATCATGCAGAACTTAGATGACAGGGCAGTCTATTTTTATCCCTGAAAACATCAAGAAAAGAAGAATGCTACAAAGTTTGTGATTTAAAAAAGCACAGAAGCACACTACAGTTCCCCCCTTGACAAGCAGCAGCATTATCACAGACAGCTGGCTTCTTCCTTCTGGAGGCTAGTAAGTTTGTCCTGTCAGAAAATGCAACTTTCTCCTCAGTTAATTACATTACAAACACCACATTTATTCCACCTACCCTGCTTCCAACTGCAGTACTGATCCAGACAAGCGGTAGCTCCACTAGATAACAGAGGGAGGAAAAAAATAAAGCACTTCTACTTCCTATAACTGGGAGAAATATTCACACCCATAAACACGATAGCTTCACAAGACAGTTTCAGAAAGGAAATAGAGTAGAGCTAAAATAAGTTGTCACGGCAATGAAAAGTTGTTTTTTCCCCCTCCTCTATTGCTCTTGTATGCTCCGATCATAGTCCTCAGAGACTCTGAGTCTATGTTACCTTAACACAGGCGCTCTGCAGTACCACATGTGCTTGAGAAATCCCAGAAACTGTGTGGAATAGAAGTCCAAGAAGTTAGAAAGGGTGATTGTGTGTATGAATGTGTAAATATACAGTACAAGAGGCTGGAACAAGTCAGCAGGACCAGCCCCTAGACACAGCCTGAGGTTTCAAATTTCATCAGCACCTGGCAGCTCTGAAACATGCTAGCAGCAGTACTGTTGAGTTGGAGAGGATTCCTTCCAAGCCAAACAGCTCACTTTTCAGTTATCTCTGGAACCCAGAGTGACATCATCTGTGGCAGCCTTCACACAGCCGTGATCATTAACTGTTTAGCCACACAGCCACCACTACTCCTGGTTTGTGACCCTCACTTGGCTTACGAATGCAGCTTGCTCTAATTATCTGAATACTTCCTCACTCTGCTTTTCAAAAGTTTTGCTTTCCTGCTCCACATCTTGTACCATATCTTCTAATAGCTTGTTTATTTCTCCAGAAAACAATCACTTGACACTGATTTTGCTGGGGTCATCTAATCCCAGCAGTCTTTCCTGCCCAAGTGCAGGGGGGCTGGACTTAATGATCTGTAAAGTCTCTTCCTGTCCATAACAAACATTCCCTCATTGTGCATTATTTTTGACTCAGGTAGAGTCAATTTATTTCATTACAAACTTCTGACAAACTGTTTTGTTTTCATCTGAAAGCTGTTGGTGAAGAATACAGTTGCAGCTCAGAGGATGACACAGAAGGGATTATCACGTCCTACATTTAACTCAAACAGCCTTAAAAAAAAATTCAGACTCAAAGATTGCATTTCATCTTCTTCTACTACCATGAGGTCAAGAGACCCAAACAAACATGTACTGCATTGCACATACACTTAGAGGATTTCCTCAAAGGGAAAATATTTATTACTGGGATAAGTACAGATTGAGAGAGATCCTCTATAACCATGTGTAGACTTAAGTCATTTTTCCCCAATTTTGGTAGAGATTTATGTATTTATAGAAGCCTGGAATTGCTTAAAACAAGCAGCTGTATTAAGTTTGAAGACTGTTTCTATGCCTTAGTTTTTCCGTCTGTTTAGAAGAAGGACAATATTATCATTTTCCCATCTGACAGATGCTTCGGCCACATTACGTCTGTTGAACATTTTGAAGAAGCATGCTATATGCATATTAAGTGCCCAGTTCTGCACATGTGTGTAACTCATTGTTTCCTGTAAGAATTACAGCCATTCAACAGAGAATAAAGTCAGGTCTTAACAGTTATTATTCATGCTCTGAGTTACTCACAGTTCTGTATTTGACATTTGTTGGAATATAGACTCAGCCTGAGTAACTCAGTGTGTCGGACTGTTCCATTTTCTCCAACATTCAGAGAGGGAAGTAACTTATATTCTGTGCCTTCTATCTCACTGTATTATGTTAACACATTTCATCCATGGTACAAGCATCGTGGAGAATTAAAAGACATTCTGATACACATCTGAACTACAGGTGACTTAATTATGAATGCTGAATCTAACCTATAAACTCTGCCTCGAAACAACCTTATACAATTATACAAAAGAGTAGCCAGTACCTGCATAACTATTCAAGAAAAGAGAACATGTATAAAAAATCGCCCCCTATCTCTCACTCTTGCACAGGGGGTAGGATATGGACCCTTGCAATCTCCTAAAAACAAAGACTTGTCTTACTACAACCCCGGGAAAACAACCCCTTCAAATTAAGCAGGGAAGAGACAAAGCAAAGAAGCAATTCCCACTATTTCTCTTCTGTACACAGATATGAGTCCAGCAGAACTAACAGGTTGCTCAGGGGTGTACGGCTATGAAAAATGAAAGATTTTGGCCTGAAGCACCTTCTCTGGTAAAACAAAGACGTTCCAGAAAGCACTGTTTCTGAAATAGTTTCAGTATCACTGTTGGAAAATGTAGTGGCAATGTCTGGAGGCTGAAACAAGGAGAAACAGAACATGCAGGCACACTAGATAGGAAGATAAAGGGAATAAATGCATGTGTGGCAGGATACCCATGCTACGCTTGGGCTTGGGCTTGGGCTTGGACAGCTGCCAAAAGCAGGCTCATGGAGACAGCAGCTAGCATGATATACTAAAAGAAGTATTTTTTAATAGGCTGGGAGGCCCTCCATCATCAAGGAACATCCCAGCTCTGATAAGGTGCTGGTACATATGAAAACTTCAGTTTACAGATCACTGTAATTGACATTAAATGCAAATGAAAGGCAGGCTCTTCTGTCACTCTTGCCTCCACAGCATTCTGTTTCTACTTCCATTTGAATAAGAGCACCACAGTAGGACATAAGATCTCTTGTTAAATGATAGGAAATTAATGTTCTGCTCTTAAAAGAAATACAACCCCACGGAAATTTCCAGATGCACACAGACAGGCAAGGGGCACAATGTACTTCCTCGCTACAGTGGCAGGAAACAAACAAGATAGTAAGTATAGACCCTTTGCTGTCAATAATAGGTAATTACAGGTCCAGTGGTTACCCTGCCAGACACGTGTGTGCATGTGGCATCACTGGAAGGAAGTGGTGCTCCTTTTTTTGTTCACAAGAAAAACTTGTGAACAAAAATCCCCAACATCACAGTCCATCAAACCCAAGTGCTACTACATAATTCAAATGAACAAAGTCAGATTTTTTTTATTGGCTTGCCTGTTTTATTTCATTTTTGTATAGGACTGGCTCTTTGCCCTTGTTGTTGAACAGTGCTACTATGCACAGTTATCCAATGCCATCTTCCAACCCTGAAGTTCAGCAGGAGGGTTGTACAATTCTGATAAGCTAGCTTTGTGGGCACTTAGGAATCCTCCAGCATAGCATATGCCAGATAATGTACATCATAATTATTAAGTCACTTGTTAGCCATCAGAAGCCGATGTGAGCACTTCCATAGTCACTGACCATTTATGAAACTGGGAGTGATGTATGATGTAGTCTAAGAAAAACACACCTTGACAGTGATAAGTGCCCAAATATTTCTTTATATCAAGACAATACTCATCTGCTAATCTGGATGCAATAGACCCAAGGGAAGCTTGGGAGGAGTCAATGGACATGTGCATAAAATAAAAAGTGATCCTTCAGCTTTGAGCCACTTTAAAATGCTCTTGAGATGTTCAAAACCAATTGAATGCACAAAGGGATTACATATAACACTGTCGTTGGTGGAAGAGGACAGTGAGAGGAAAAAAACAAATCTTAGTTGGATGATCTAAAGGGATCCCATTCCAAGGTTTGCAGCTGATACTTTCCTCACCTTTCTGGAAAATGCACCATTTGGTTTGGGGAGTAGTATTTCTACAGATTCAGGTCACATTTACCCTTAATCCACCCTTACCTGAAATGAAAATTGGTTAGAATTCTTTGTATTGTAGTACACTATAGTCAAGGACACAAAGCAGATGAGGGAGTGAGAAAGGGAAGAGATCACCTCTTCCAGAAAAAGCCTGCCCTGCCACACAGAGGCAACCTCATTGAATCAATGGTATTGCATGGGATGAGACTCAGAATAGAATTTGGTCCATAAAAGGCTTATGTCTCTCTGATTCAGTTAGTTTAAAGGGTGCACAACTACTCTGTCTTTGGTCCATATGGGAGAACTCAAAGATTACCTGAATCATTGCAAACCTGTTTTGCCTCATGTACGAAGATGCGCACAAAGCAGAGATACAGAATTCTACTGCTAAATTAAGGGCTGTTGGAAAGAAGAGCTGGCTTCTGAACTTTTAAATCTGAAGGCTGGTTCCAGTCTGTTTAATGGGTTGAACCAAAGACTCATATATGAATACTTCTAAATTGGAGAGGAGAGATAGGGGAGTATGAAGACTACATTGCAATCTGATGCCTTGGGGCCATCTCCAGACTTAGACCTCTCAACAGATAAAAGGGAAAGCAAAGGTGATTCTAAGTCATGTCCTCATCTCCCTGACTGAAACAGCTCCTGAAAGAAGCTGAGTCAACTACAGGGTCAACTACATATTTCAGCCACTTCCCCAGTCGCCTGCCTGCTATGTGAAATCCCACTATTATGGAGTTTCTTAAAACAGGAAAAGTCTTAGTTGCCTTTAACAGAAGCTTTAAGCCTTCCTGTGCCTCTGAAGTGGTATAACATATACACCATCTACCAACACAGTGTTTCTCAACCTTTTAAGCAGCAAGTACCCCCTAACTTCTGAAAAATTTAATAAGTACCCCAACACTCAATTTTCCAGGGGATTTTTTATCTACAAACTAATGTGTGTCGTATGTTGGAAGAAGGGCTGAGTATATAAGGCTGTGATATGACAGATGTCTGATTTGGTGTGGGTAGGGTTGCCACCTTTTACACCAGGGGTGCACAACTCAAGTATGTACCTGGGCTAGAGGTGATGTTGGCCAAAGCTAGGAGGGCTGAACCAAATTATTAATGGGAAATTTAATTTTTTAAATTGCACCAAATTTTTTGCCATAGTTTTGAGACCTCTTCCAGAAAAAGCCTGCCCTGCCACACAGAGGCAACCTCATTGAATCAATGGTATTGCATGGGATGAGACTCAGAATAGAATTTGGTCCATAAAAGGCTTATGTCTCTCTGATTCAGTTAGTTTAAAGGGTGCACAACTACTCTGTCTTTGGTCCATATGGGAGAACTCAAAGATTACCTGAATCATTGCAAACCTGTTTTGCCTCATGTACGAAGATGCGCACAAAGCAGAGATACAGAATTCTACTGCTAAATTAAGGGCTGTTGGAAAGAAGAGCTGGCTTCTGAACTTTTAAATCTGAAGGCTGGTTCCAGTCTGTTTAATGGGTTGAACCAAAGACTCATATATGAATACTTCTAAATTGGAGAGGAGAGATAGGGGAGTATGAAGACTACATTGCAATCTGATGCCTTGGGGCCATCTCCAGACTTAGACCTCTCAACAGATAAAAGGGAAAGCAAAGGTGATTCTAAGTCATGTCCTCATCTCCCTGACTGAAACAGCTCCTGAAAGAAGCTGAGTCAACTACAGGGTCAACTACATATTTCAGCCACTTCCCCAGTCGCCTGCCTGCTATGTGAAATCCCACTATTATGGAGTTTCTTAAAACAG